CCCCGTGCTTTGTCTGTCTTGTCAGACTCCATCTCTGCCTGCCTCCCTCAGCCTCCCTGTCCTTCCATCCCCGCTGTCCTGCTCCTGGTCTCTAAGGGGCCCTCCCCCTCAGCAGGCTGGCTATCCCCACAATTCCCCAGTGAATTCCAGACCCTCTCCTAATTATTACGCTGCCCATGAAAGCCCCATCCCTGCAGCTCCCCCAGCCTCTGGGTCTGGGGGCAGAGATAAGTGATCCCACAGCTGGCCGATGAAGGGTCTGAGCAGGCTCCTGAGGGCCATCATGGAGGTGGGCAAATGGGTCCAGTTACTTAAACTGGGAGGGTCATGTGTCTTGGAGCCGGAGGAGAAAGGCAGGAGAGGAAGCAGATTGCCATTTTACTTCTGGAGAGACCTGAGCTGGGAACCCCAGAGAAGCGCCACAGACCTGCCTGGGAAGGACCATAGTGGGTGCTGTTATAGCCAAGCTTAGCTGGTCAGCACTCTCTAGGATATAAATCAATAATACAAGGCAGAGGGCTGGGATGTGGCTCAAGCAGTAGCGCGCTGGCATGCATGCGGCCCGAGTTCGATCCTCAGCACCACATACAAACAAAGATGTTGTGTCCGCCGAAAACTAAAAAATAAATATTAAAATTCTCTCTCTCTCTCTCTCTCTCTCTCTCTCTCTCTTTAAAAAAAGATAATAATACAAGGTAGAATTATAGGACAAGTAACGTTAAGCTAGCATAGTCATAGGTTAGAAGCAGAATCTGAAGAACTTAGCCTAAGTTACTCCATTTTATTTATTTTTTTATTGTGCCGAGGATCAAACCCAGGGCCTTATGCATGCAAGGCAAGCAGTCTTCCAACTGAGCTATATCACCAGCCCACATGAATCCCTTTTAAAAGAAATCATGTTGATTAGAGTTGGCAGTTAGCCCAATTAAGAAACTTTAATTGTTGCAACCCCTGCACAACCACAAATGTCAACCCTTCCCCTAAGGAAAAGGTCCCCAGTGCTTGCAATAGACACTTGCTACACTGTAGCAGTTCACCAATCACTAATTTTAGCTTCTGTAAGAACCTGCTTTGTGCAATTGCAGAACCCCCATGCCAGGGGAAGTGTCTTTATCTTTAAAGGCTTGTAAGCACCAAGGTGGGTGCTGCTCACTGAAGGTGCCTTGCTGAGGGGCAGTGCCAGATGGCTAATAAAGACTCTCCAATTTGGACAAAATTTGGACTGAGAGTGTTCTATGAGCGATGGGCCCAAACAGATGCCTCTTGCTGGAACTGATTATGTGCCAGGATTCTGTGCACTTTAACCCTGTTCAGTCTTTTAACTCCACAACTGCCCTATGAAGCAAGTTCTCCTTAGATACCCATTTTCCAGATGAGAAACTGAGGCACAGAGAGGTTACCTGACTGCCCCAGATTCAACAGCTGGTTGGGGCCAGAGATAAGTGATACCACACACGATTCTGGGTGCATCTGTTTGTATCTGACTCTATCTTTACACAGCCTTCTCTGCTGTGGGTGTGTGCCTCTGTGTTTAAACTACTCTCTTTTTATAAAGACACTCGTCATACAGGATTTAGGGCTAGCCTAACTCCAGGATGACCTCATCTAACTTCACTGCATCTGCAAAGAACCTCTTTCCAAATAAGGTCACATTCTTAGGCTCCAGGGGAGCATGAGGTTTGGGGGGACATTACCTAACCCAGCATACACCAGTGTGAGTAGAGAGTACTAGATGCCCCACCCTGCTCCCACTCAGCGGGCTATCTGACCAGGAGACACCTTCAGCAGGGAGGGGGCGGCCATGACTGCCTTACAGCAATTACCGTTCATAAAGGTCCCTCTTCACTGCTTCTCTCTGGTCCCACAACCTCTCAGCACAGACACATTTCTAACATTGGCTGCTGAGGTCCATCTCCTCTGTGCCCTTCACCCCGAGTTCCTGTCAAGATCTGTTAGGGTTTTGCTTCTATTCATTTCCACAAGTGCTTCAGCAAGTGTTTCGAGATCCCTGAGGACCCAGATCACACCTGCATCTTCCAGCCTGGCCAAGGCCCCTGGCTCTCAACTGCCCATCAGAGTTCTGCAAGTTGTAAAGGCTGTTGTTAGTACTGTGCCTGAGGGCGGCCTCTGTCTGGGCAGGAGGACTTGGGAGAACCTTCAGTGTCCACAGCCCTGTTGCTCATTCTCTTTTCTTTCTACACAGCTGTTGTGCCTTTAACTGCCAGTGGTTTGGCCCTACCCACTTAAATTGCAGGGTTTGTAGGTGCCTTAGTCCATTTTGTGTTGCTAGAACAATATACCTAAAGCTGGATAGTTTGTAAGGAAAAGAGGTTTATTGAGCTCACAGTTTTGGAGGCTGAAAATCCAAAATGGAGCTGCCGCATCTGTTCAGCCTCTGGTGAGGGCCCTTCTGGCTCATTACAACATGGCGAAGACGTGGAAAGAAGTGTGTGCACAAAGGGGCAAGCCTGTAGGTTGGCCTTGCTTTATAGCAATCTGCTCTCAGGAGGGCAAACCTAGTCCTACAAGAATGCATGAACCCCTTCCAAGGGTGGTGACCCATGACCCTTTCGCCTTCTACTGAGCCTCACTTGTAAAGATCCAGCACCCCCCCAACTCTGTCACACTGGGACCAAGCTTCCAGCACATGGATCTTTGGGATGGTCAACCCATAGCCAAACCCTAGGGGTAGGTTTTGTACATGTGGTTTGTGAGCTTTTGCTTTTGCTTTCCCATGGCTTCACCTGGGTTTTGGGAGTGGCAGCAGGATTAGGAAGATCAAAAAACCATGCTGCCTAACTGGAATCGAGTAACAAGGAAACATCAAACAAATTACAATTGAGGACCTTTTGCAAAAATAACTTGCCTGGACTCTTCAAAAATGCCAATGTTTCCAGGCATGGTAGCCCACACCTCTAGTCCCAGCAGCTCGGGAGGCCGAGGCAGGAAGACACAAATTCAAAGCTACCCTCAGCAACTTAGGGAGGCCCTAAGCAACATAGCGAGACCCTGTCTGTAAATAAAATATAAAAAGGCCTGGGGATGTGGTCAGTGGTTAAGTGCCCCCGGGTTCAATCCCTAGTACAAAAAAAAAAAAAAAGCTTTGGTTTGAGATGAAAATAATTTTCTGCCCATGGATGGTGGAGATGGTTGCACAATACTCACGGATTTGAGGCCACTGAACTCTACAGTTAAAATGGCAAATGTCGTGTTATGAAAATTTTACCAAAATAATAGTGTCATGGGCCAGGCTATATGGCCAATGACCAAACAGACTCCATTTTGCCCTGAGACTCCAGGTCATGTAAGAAATGCTTCTCCCATAGAAAGCCCCACCTCTGTGCCCATCAACAGTTGCTTAGCCTAACATGTTTGGCAACACAAAATGGCAATTCTTATACAGTGTAAAATTGTTCTCTCTTTGGTTTCCATTTTTCTTGGACAATGAACCCTGTCAGAGATTAGTCTAGATGTTAGTAACCATTCTTTTTTGGGGGGGAGAGGGCACCAGGGATTGAACTCAGGGGCACTCGACCACTGAGCCACATCCCAGCCCTATTTTGTATTTTATTTAGAGACAGGGTCTCACTGAGTTGCTTAGCGCCTCGCCATTGCTGAGGCTGGCTTTGAACTCCTGAGCCTCCATATTCCAAGCCGCTGGGATTACAGGCGTGCACCACCTCACTCGGCCAGTTACCATTCTTTAACTTGTACCCAACTAGGGACATTTTGACGCACTCCCTTTTCTGCTTCTGATTTTAGATCTCATGACATTTGTTTATGGTTTCAATCATAGCAACAGCCTCTTATGCTCTACCATGGTTTTGGACTATATAAAGTGGATTCAAACCCCGGGAAGGGGGTCGAAGGGTGTAGACTTGCAGCCTGCCCCTCGGCCCGCCAGCTGGTGGATGCAGACCGCCAACTGGTGAATCAGGTTTCCTGCTTTAAGATGGACTCAGTGATTTATTGATTTTTTCCGTAACAACAGGAAACCAACCCACATGAAGAAAAACACTGAGGGGGTTTTGCTGTTTCTGTTTGGGCTCTAGATAAAAGAAAAACAATTCTCCATAGAAGACCGGCCTTCTGTGGAACTGGGGTCTGAAATCAGATGGGTCGGTGGACCCCAAACTGGGAAAGAAATGGAATAACAACTGGGATTGTCACATCCCCAGGCCTCTGCCCAAAGCAAAGGCAAGACATCTCTCACTTGTGGTTCCACAGATGACTTGAATGAGCTCATAACCCAGTGTCCTGAAATATCCCAGGAGCTCAGGTACATGGCACATGACCACAGACTCACTGATCAACAAGGCCACACAGTCTCAGCCCCATCTGTCCCTAATAACTTTAGATGTTAGAACTGTCAAAGAAAAACAATATGGCAACATTTTTTAACTTATGACAGATATTCATGACCGTATCTCCCTACCCCCTTGGTACTGGGGGTTGAACCCAGGGGTTATTTACCGCTGAGCCACATCCCCAGCCCTTTTTATTTTATTTTGAGAGAGGGTCTCACTAAATTTCTTAGGGCTTCATTCACTAGTTTGCTGAGGCTGGCCTCCCTTGTGATCCTCCTGCACCAGCCTTCAGAGTTGCTGGGATTTCAGGCATCTATCTGGTCCATATTAACCATTTCTGACTGTACCGTTCCACAGTGTTAAGGCTATCCATATTGCTGTGTGACCCATCTCCAGAATTTTTTCATCTTGCCAAACAGAAACTCTGTCCCCATTAAACACCAGCATCAAATTCCCCTTCCCCTCAGTCCGGAGCAGGTTTTCCTAACATCATTTATTGAAAAGATTATGATGCAATCTTCTGGTGTCTGATGAGCTTTTGTTTATGTATAAAAAAATTCACAACTATTTGCATTCTTGTTAATGATCAATTAATCTTTAAACAATTAACTTTCCTTTAAACATTTACTGCCAAACTTCTACAGCTAAAAATAGCCAAGTCACTGATTTCACAATTTTAGATTTTTCCAAACATTTGAACATTGATTGCAAGTTTAATCAGTGGAATTTTTACAAGTCTGGTATGAGATTCGCTTAAACATCTTGAATAGAAGGAGAACACCAATCCCGTCTCAACACCATATCTCTAGTCTGATAAGGAATATTCCCACTGGTGCCGAAATGACCAGTTGATCTGTTTCCTTCCATTAAACTGGTGATAAACGGACAGGTGTCATGACTGATAGGCTGCATTCCTTCCACCAGGTAAGACTGGACTAAGTTTGGAGGTTGGAAATCCAGACCTGGAACATGAGCCCTGAGGTTCTGTCATGAAGGTCTGTGTGCCCTGCAGATTCATATGTTGAAATCCTGACCCTCAGTGGGATGACATTAGGAGGGGGAGCCTTGGAGAGGGGGGTCAGTCATGAGGGTGGAGTCCCCACCGATGGGATGAGTGACCTTAGCACCCCCAGCCCCTTCCACCACGTAAGAACACCATAAGAAGCTGTCATCTATGTGAACTCAGAAGCGTCCCTTATCAGGCAATGAATCTCCCACTACCTTGATCTTGGATTCCCCAGCCTCCAGCCTCCAAAACTGTGAGGGATGAACGTTTGTGGAGTCACGCTGTCTGTAGTGGGTTGGTTAGTTGGTTTGCTGGTCCTAGGGATTGAACTCAGGGGCACTCTGCCACTGAGCTATATCCCCAGCCCTTTTTATTTTTCATTTAGAGACACAGGGTACCCTAAATTGCTCAGGGCCTCACTAAGTTGCTGAGGCTGGCTTTGAACTTGCAGTCCTCCCAAGCTGCTGGGATTAGGCGTGCGCCTGTCAGAGTGTCTTATATTTATAGTTCAGCCTGGAAAACCTGTTTGAGAGTCATGACATTTTAATAGGCTGGGATATGGGATCACTCAGCAACTGTTTGTTCTGAGATCTAGTCTGATAAACAATCGAGAAATTTCCTATCATACATGGGAAGAAGCCAGATTTCCCAATTTTCCTCTTGTTCTGGTGACGCTGTGTGGTTGTGGGTTTTTTCAGTTTTGTTTTGTTTCGTGTTTCTTACTGGGGGTTAAACCCAGGGGCACTCTGTCACTGAGCTACACCCCATCCCTTTTTATTTTTCATTTTTGAGACAGGGTCTCACTAAGTTGCCCAGACTGGACTTGAATTTGCCATCCTCCTGAGTGGCTGGGATTATAGGTGTGCACCTGGTGGGTTGTCTTTTCAACCTGAAAGTCACCCTCCAGGTCTGAAGCTGGTGGGGGTGGGGGTGGGGACACTTCGCATCTCTCAGTAGCCACTGGCTGCACGCTCCAACTTCTAGTGTCTTTAGCACCAGCCACTCCCCAGTCACCTCAGACAGAAGTGACATTCTCCCAGTAGGTTCTGCTTTCTTGCAAGTGGGAGCACCTGCTGTCTGCAGCCCCTCTGGGAGGGCTGCGTGGTTTACACATGCTGCCATGTTTCCATAGGAGAACTTTATGTGTGTGCATGGGGTGGAGGGGACGGGGTCCTGGGGGTGGAAACCAGGGCCTATCACATGCTCAGTGTTGCTCCTCCCTGAGCCACATCCCAGCCCCAAAGCACTCAAAAAATGTCGTAATTGATAATAACCTGTACAACAGGTGGCAGATAATCTTAATTTAAAATGCCCTGAAATCTCAGGAGACTAAAGAGAGGTGATCCCAAGTTTGAGGCCAGCCCAAGCAATTTAGCTAGACCCTGTCTCAAAATGAAAAAAAAAAAAAAATTAAAAGATTAAAAGGGCTGGGGATGTGGCTCAGTGGCAGAGCACCTGCCTAGCATGTGTGAGGCCCTGGGTTCTGTCCCCAGCACTGCAAAAAAAAAAGAAAAAAAGAAAGAAAACACACACACACACACACACACGCACACGTACACGCACACGTACACGCACATACATAGAACTTTTCAAATAAAAGGAAAAGGCTACCCAGAGGGGAACGTAGATACAGAATGAGCAATACCAAGTCGCATCCTATTCAAGGCAACAGACTGTTAAGATAAAGAAAACACCCTTTGGCATCCTGGCAATGTGCAGGTCCTCTTCCAGGAGAAACGAAAGCCCTGTAGCCTCAGATCTCACACAGGACGGGCCCCTTCGAGAAGGCAGTGGACAGACGTTGTCACCACCAAAAAGAAACAAAGGGCGAGCCTAGAGCTTCACAGCAGCCTGCAGACAATCTAACGAAAAGGAAAAGTATGTTTGGGCCTCTCCAAATGCGGGAATGCAGCTCGCGGGGGCCCTCCCTCGGAACAGGTTTGAATTACAGGAGGACTGGAGATTACAGCCAAGAAGAGAGGATGTAGGAAATGTTGTCTAAAGAAGTAAAAGAGGCTTGGTCCAAGTTTCCCCCAAAGTAAATAATTATTTCCCTACTTGATATTATAATTCCCTTAACATATCTTTGCTTTGAACATCCTATCACAATAATGTTCTTTAAGGTGCCATTAATATTTCCCGTATTAATTCTATCTTGTTCATATTGGAAAGAGCTGCCTATTTTCCTGTGATGCTTTTAAACAAGCCTGGAGGCTAAAATGTAATTGGTGGTTTCAGAAAAAGGCTTCAATGTTGTTGAGTTGCATTTCAACAGCGAAGAAAAAAAAAGAAAAAGAAGAAGTAGTAAGAGATTTTTTTTTTTTTGGCAGTATTGGGGTTGAACCCAGGGCCAGTTTACCACAAGCAACACCACCAGTCTTTTTATTCTTAGACAGAGTTCTCACTAAGCTGCCAAGCTGGCCTTGAAGTTGGGATCCTCCTGTCTCAGCTTCCTGAGTCTCTGAAGTCTCAAGTCTAAAAGAGACTTGATTTGAAAATGACGGTGGTGATTTCCTCTCGTAAATCATTCCAAACATCAGAAAGAACACCTTTTTGCCCTTGTTTATTTCTATGCTGGGGCTCTTTCCGTATGAGTACCTAGAGTGGGCGTGGAGGGGAGCAAGGGGGAAGTGCTTGGGGGGAGACTGGCCAAATGATGTTGAATGTTGTGTGCAAGTACTAATATGTAACAGGGAATCCCACCATTTATGTCATCACAATGTACCAACAAAAACATGGGAAAAAAGCCAGCCTGAATGAACTAAGGCATATCCTTTCTTGATTCAAATTACTTGTACCATATTTTAAGAAAATGATGATAATATCTTTATTTATACATTATCATAATTAAAATCAATAAGCATAGTAGTGTTCGAAACCAAGCAGTTGATCGAAATACATTGATTGAATATGAAACTTTTGATCAAATACATGATCTGTTTTTCTTATTTCTTCTCATAAACATTAAAATTTCAAAGTGTCTTCTCAGCTAACATGAAGACTTTAATGATAATTTTTTTAAAAAATAAACAAAAAAAAACAGTATTTTTTTCTTAACTTTAAAATAATCACATTTTATTTGAAAAATTCAGAAATTTTGCTTCTCAGCTGGGCACAGTGACACACACTTGTAATCCCAGCAACTTGGGAGGCTGAGGCAGGAGGATCACAAGTTCAAGGCCAGCCTCAGCACTTTAGCAAGACCCTATCTCAAAACAAAAAATAAAAATAAAAAGGGCTGGTGGTGTGGCTCAGTGGTTAAGCACCCCTGGGTTCAACCCCCAGTACAAAAAAGAAAAAGAAGAAAGAGATCGGATTTCCCAGAACTGCTGGGGAGTAAGGACGTGGGCACACTAAAGCGTACGTGACCTTGTGCTTCCTACAAACAGGGGCGTCCTCCTACAAAACCACAGCTGATCACCGTCAGGAAGGGGACCCCACTCATCACTACCTGGAATCGTAGGACTGCGACCAGGTTTTGCTGTGGGTCCAAGTGAGGCTCTGAGTGGTGGATGCCGGCCAGATGGTACTCGGGTTGGGTCCCTTGGAAGGTCAGGAAGGGGCAGTTCCTCTCTTTCAGTTTCAATCTCCCCTGTCTTCCGTGACCTTGACACCTGGGGCTCCAAGGCTCTCTGTCCTCTGCGTGTGTGAGCTGCCTCGTGACCGGGTCCTTTGGCAGCAGAAGCACTGACGTGACGTGGTATTTTCCTCACTGCCAGTGAGTTGTCCATTTCTTTGATTACTCATGTTTGCTTTGGTCACAGGATTTGGTGGCATCTGCCAGTCTTTCCCACAGCCAAGTTACTCTTTTCCCTTCTGTAAATAGTAGGACTTCTGTGAGGGGAGACTTTGAAACTGTGTGGGTATCCCACTTCTCGCCTTAGATCTCCAAGTGACTTATGGATCCATTCACACAGCCATGTCACCGGCCACCAGGGCTGGGTTCTGAAGGTTTTGTCCCTAGGTGAACACCACGGGCTGTGCCTATACAAATGCAGGTGGCTCTGCTGTCACGAGGCCGCATGCTCGTACAGGACCACGGGGCTGTGTGGGTGGCACTCGGGGACTCCTGCTTCACCGAGGGTTCTGGTCAACTCTCCATTCTTGCTTTCTGGTGCAGCAAAGTGGCTGGTCTGCTCTTCCTCTGACCCAGCTCGACGACGGGTCTTCCTTCCAAGGACCTTTTCCCAGAGGATGGGAACCAGGATCTGAGCACTAATAGGGGTCTTTGCATTCTTGCTGCTGACTGGTCTCTTGGTGGCAGGTTTCATATTTGCAGTTGTGTTGGGGATCCACTGGGAGTTGGTTCCAAGACTCCTGAAGATACAAAGTTCTTGGTGAGGTGTTTGCATAGAATCTATTCCACATGCTTTAAATCATCTCTAGCTGGTTTATAATACTAATGCAATCCAAATGCTATGTGATTTTCTTTTTTTGGTACCTGGAATTGAACCCAGGGTTGCTTAGCCACTGAGCCACATCCCCAGCCCTTTCTATGTTTTATTTAGAGACAGGGTCTCACTGAGTTGCTAAGGACCTCACTAAATTGCTGAGGCTGGCTTTGAACTCGCGGACCTCATGCCTCAGCCTCCAGGGCCACTGGGATTACAGGCATGAGCCATGGCCACCAGTGGTGTCATTACAAGGAAAAATCCTTACATGATCAGTACGAGTGTAATTTACTTACCCGTGGCTATGGAGGGCTTTCTACAGATCACATTTCCTAGGTATATCAATGTACACTCCTGCATGTATGTGCACATGCATATATACATATGTGCAATGTACAGACATTTATGTGTCATGTTGTTTACTATATTTTGCTTCTGCTGCGGTGCTGGGGATCAAACCCAGGGCCTCCTGCATGCTACGCAAGCCCTCTACCACTGAGCTACACTCCCAGCCCTCCTGGTGCCCCACGCATCACGCTGTATCCACACATTGAATGTGCATTCGATGCAGTGTGTGTATTATGTGTATACACACATCTACATTGACACACACGTACGCATGCACACATGTGTATGTATGCATCTATAAATCTCTGTATCTATTTACGTTTGTTGAAAACCACGGAGCCACAAGATACATCTACTTCAGATCCACCCCTCCTACTCTCCTATCCTATATCTGCCTCCTTTTCCAACAGTGAGAATATGACTTCATGTCCCTCGAGTCCCTGGTTATCCCATCTCCGCTGCCTTCCCCTCCTCACCAGCCTGGGCTCTGATTCCGCTCGAGGCTCCCCAGCCTCACGCTCCCCAGGTGCTGGGCTGCTCCCCCAGCAGGTGCCCTCTGCACCCAGCAAGGCCTCGGCTCCCACCTCTGGACCACTGTCCCTTGCTGGGCTCCCACCTCTGGGCCAGAGTGCATCTCCCTGATGAAAGGGAAAGGGAAGAGAAAGAACGTTTGTTTCCACGTTGTGAATTTCAATGTATTCAGTGTTTTCTTTTATGCTGCTGGATTTTGAATCTCTCTTCAAAGGCTTTCTCCACGGCCTGCTCATAAAGGAACTTTCTGGTGTTTACTTATTCTATTATGGTTTCTTGTTTGTCACTGAGCTCTTTGATCCATCTGGAATGGATTGAGCATTAGCTTTCCACCCTATTCGCCTATTGGGTTGATGAGGTTCTCTTTATTCGTATTTTTAATCAACACATTTGTGGGCATAGTACGGTAACAAAGTGCTACATGTTCAGTATCGCAGGCGCTGTCCCCTGACAGTTGATCCCCGTGCTGATCACACCAAGGGAACCACAGGGATTGGTAAATAGAAATTTCAGTGGGTGGAACACTTGGTTTTTACTTCTCGTTATGTAAAGTCCAATCGATACAGAGACGGGGACAGGAGCCCAGGCTGATGGCAGCTCTGCTGTCCTGACCTGCGGCTTCCGAGGGCTCCCTGGTTTGGCAGCTGAGTCCAAGGTGGACCTCATGGATCCCCACCCCTGGGGCTCACAGTGCGGCACCCTCTGGTGGAAGTGGGGGATGGCTTCTCTGAGGCTGTGCCCCCAGTGGCCTCCCTTTCCCTCTACCTCCCTAGTCCTTCACCCTTGAGTTAGACCCAGCGACTGTGGAGATGCCAACAGCCAGCAAAGAACTGAGGCCTCCAGCCGTCAACCATGTGCACCTGGGAGGTGGGTTCTCCAGCCCCAGTCAAGCCTGCCTAAGGGCTTGACTGAGACTCATTCAAACCCTGATCCAGAGCCACCAGCCACCATGCTCTGGGTTCCCAACCTTCAGACTCACGGTGCTGGGGTGGAACCTAGGGCCTTGCTCATGCCAAGCAACCATTCTGCCACTAAACCACACCTCAGCCTTGAATGCTGATGCTTTTAAGCTGGGAAGAATTTGGGGGTAACTTGTTACACAGCAATAGGTAACGACACTGGCATCCACACGTGATTGGCAGTGGGGATGGGACAGAGCACACTGACACTGCGTGAGTCAGTCCAGAATTGGAGCAAAGTGCTCCTGCCCCCACTCCCTTGGCCAGAGCCCCTCCCATGACCCCAGCTACATCCAGGGGGTGCTGGGAAATGTAATTCCTCCGTGGGAAATGTGGCGTAATAAAAATACATCTATTTGGTCTCTGTCCCCAGCTCCTGGAACATGGCTCCTGAGGCTCTTGTAATTCTGTGATTGATGGGGTTCTAGGAGCATTTTTGGTGCAATATTTGATCTTTGACCCCATTTTCTGATACAGAGTTTCTAAGTCCCTTAGGGTTTTCTGGGTGGCATGAGTGTCTTTTGTCCTAATGAGGTGACTCTAGGTGAGCTCCCAGGTGGGGATGGGTTGCCAGGCCATGACTGGAAGCTGGAACTATCAGCCTCACCCCGAGGAGCAAGTGACAAGCCAGGGCTGGAGTTAATAATCAATCAGACGTGATTAAGTCACCATAAAAATTCCTGAAGAGTGCATCTCCCTGATGAGTGGTGGTGCACCCCAAATCCATCTGTTAAAAAGTATCTGCACTAGGGACTCTTCCTGCATCAGAACAGACTGTTTGTCCTCTGCAACACAGAAGGCTTCCCCAGCCCTAAAAGATGTGGGGATTTCTCTCCACTGGCAAGCAAGCAGAGCTGCAGTGGCAGACACCACCTAGGCACCCTCTAGTCCAATCCAGTGATGATGCTGTTGACCTGGAAATGGCATCAGATCCCACAGATTGAGAGGTCAGTCCCCAAGAGTCCCTCTACCCCAACAATTTAGATGCCAGTTGCAAGCCACAGGTTGTTTACCTGTGCTTCTGACTGGCTGTGAACCAGGGTTCCCAGAACACCCTCCTTGGGTTCCGTTAATTTGCTAGAGCAGCTCACAGAACTTAGAGACATCCACTTATATTTCCCAGTTCATCATAAAGGATATCACAAGCCAGTTGCAGCGGTGCATATCTGTAATCCCAGTACCTCGGGCGGCTAAGACAGGAGGATCACAAGTTTGAGGCCAGCCTTGGCAATTTAGCGAGACTATCTCAAAATGAAAAATAGAGAGGGCTGGGGATGTATCTCTGTAGTAGAATGGTCCTGGCTTTAATCACCAGTGCTGAGGGGGATAAAAATAAATAAATAACAGAGGATGCGGATGAATGGATACTCCGGGCAAAGTAGAGGAGAAGGGCTTCCACGCCCTCCTCTCTAGGTGCACCATGCTCTAGGACCTCCATGCATTCAGCTACCTGGAAGCTCTCTGGACCCTGTCCTTTGGGGGTTGCCAACAGACCCAGCCAGCCCTGTCTGTTCAAGTTGCTCTTTTCCTTTATGTATAGTATTCCTCCCTCCAGGGCTATGGCGCAGGACCCTTCTGAAATGGGGGTCTTATGACAGGGAAAGACAGGGTAGGTCTGAGGATTTCTTTATGACCAGCTCCAAGACAGAATGGTAGGGGAAGAATCAGAGTTTCCACAGCTCTCCTGCCTTGGGGAGAGGGTTATGAGCCAGAAAACCTGAATGGAAACCAAAAAAGATGTGCCATAATAACTTCAAATGTCGGACAGCAATAAATTGTTGGTTGAAAGGTTTTGAATGTGTTTTTCATATGAATGTGCAAGCAAAGTTTCTTTATGATGATGATTATAAAGAATTTGAGGAGATCATTAGAAACAATATTAAGAATTTCTGCACCTAGTTAGGCGTGATGATTCACACCTGTAATCTCAGTGACTTGGGAGTCTGAGGTAGGAAGATCACAAATTTGAGGGCAGCCTCAGCAACTAAGCAAGGCTTTACGCAACTTAATGAGAAAACTTTATTTTCTATTTTCAAAATTTAGAAAATAACATTTTCGAAATGTGATGTGGCTCAGTGTTTAAGAGCCTTTGGGTTTAATTCCCCAGTACAAAAAAAAAAAAAAAAATGCTGTACCTATCTGAGACATTATCTGAGCAATTTTTTTTAAGGTTTATTTGTTCGTTATGGTACTGGAATTGAACCCAGGGGCACTCTGCCGCAGAGCCACGTTTCCAGCCCTTTTTATTTTATTCTGAGACAGGGTCTCATTAAGTCGCCCAGGTTGGCTTTGAACTTTCGATCCCCTGAGTTGCAGGAATTACAGGCCTGTACCACCAAGTCTGGCTATTTGTTGAAGTTTTAATTATAGAAGTAAGCTCAGGTTTCTGATTAGTTTAGTTTAGTTTTGCTTTTTGGTGCTGGAAACTGAGCCCAGGACCTTGTACATGCTCACCCAGCCCATAAGTTTTGAAAAACATCATCTCCTCCTCCTCCTCCTCCTCCTCCTCCTCCTCCTCCTCCTCCTCTTCCCCCCAGGGATTGAACTCAGGGGCACTCGACCACTGAGTCACATCCCCAGCCCTATTTTGTATTTATTTAGAGACAGGGTCTTACTGAGTTGCTTAGCACCTCATCGTTGCAAGAGGCTGGCTTTGAACTTGTGATCCCCCTACCTCAGCCTCCTGAGCCTCTGGGATTATATGCATGCGTCACCACGCCCAGCTCATTGTTCATTTTATACATACCAATATTTAATATCTTCCTTAATATACTGTGCTCCCTTTTTCTTATTCTAATTCAAGGGGATGTCCGTATATTTGTTACCAAGTCTTCCCCAGATGTTCCCAGTCCCTCCCATCCTCAGGTCTGATGGTAAGAAACTGATGTGACTCCATTTTTGAGAAACCAGCTTCTACCTCAAGGCCTGTCCAGAGGGAGGGGGGCATGACCCTTATCCTTGGAAAAAACCCAAAGAGCACTCCAAAGCACATACCCACCCTGCTGAGTTGTTTAACAGAGATCTGCAGCGTCGGGTGTCCCTGACTCGATTACGCTAGGTGAGGCTCCATAGCAACCCCCTAGCAACCACCAATCAGCATGAGACAGGGAAAATATCTGAAATGTCAGGTGACCCTCCCAGTAGTTTCAATGATTGATAACATGATTAGGCCACCCTGCAGTTTAGCGTATACACTCTTGCACCCCTCGTGCCTAAACCAATCAGTTCAAATATATCCACCTCTTGAACGCACCAATCACCCCTACCCAACTTGTTCCCACCAGTGAATGTGCTAATCAATGTTAAGAGTTGTTGTTTGACTTTCCCGAGGTGTGAAATGATTTGCTGTGTGATGTTGTGATGCATAGAGGATCCCCCCCAAACCTATAAAATCTCACTGAACAAAGGACCAGGACTCACTCCCTGGGACCCTTGCGCTGGAAACGGTTGTGAGTCCAGAATCCATCTTGCAATAAAGACTCTTGTGTGAAACTGCATTGGATTTGGCTCCTGGAGGTCTATTGGGGTCCCACGAATCCAGCCTTTCATCGGTACTTTAGGACTCACAGAACTCAGAGAAGCGTTACAAGCATAGCTTCAGTTGATCATGGTGAAAAGACACAGATCAAAATCAGCCAAGGGAAGAGGCATTGTGGCAGAGTCCAGGGGGGCACTCCAGTGTCCAGTCCCAGTGGAGTCCCACAGACGGTTTCTGTCTCCCAGCAACCACCTGTGACGACACAGAGAGTACCACAGACCAGGGAAGCCCACCCAGGAGTTTGTGTCTGGTCAGGCAGGCACAGCCAACTGCCCCCGCCATCGACCTCAGATGCTCAAGGGGTCCCACAGATACAGCCTGGCCCGAAGCCCCAGGTAAATCAGTTTTAGCAGAGACTATCTGGCACGGCCCAGGTAGCCCAAGACACTTATCAGACAGGACAACCCGAGGCTTAAAGGCCAGCCCTTCCTTGAATGTGCAGGGCGTGGACAGCCCGCAGGCTGGCCCCTGACTGTACACTGGTCTTGCCAAATACATTGTGTTTTGCATTTCTTATCATGATTTAAGCTGATGTCATTTTAAAAACCAAACTCTTTCCACTCTTTCCATAGAGGTCCCCAGATCGCCTCCACTCACCCTGTAAATCTGTAAAGGTGGGGGTGGCGGTGTGCATCTCCAGGCCATCTCTGTCACCAGGTCACTGCCTTGCTCCCGCTCTCCAGGGAGGGATGGCCTGAGGGCTGGGAGAGCAGGGTTGTCCTGGACACCTGGACCACTCCCAAATTGCCATCAATTCTTATGGGGGGTGGATTTTTGCCCCAAACTGTGTTTTAAGCACCTAAAGACCTACAGTTAGATCGAATTTCTGCCTTTTCCCTCAGGTTTGGCCGAATTCCACAGGCAGAATGTCCTCTTCCCCAGAGAACCCCTCATTTTGATCTTAAAGTCTCTTCTTAAAGATCTTAAAGACTGGTTAGATCTGGCCTACCAGGTTTATAATCTACTTAAAGTTAACTGCCTTTAAATGTTAATTACATCTATAAGACGGCTTTGCAGCAACACCTAGATTAATGCTTGACTGAATAGTGGGTGTGCCGACACCAGAAAATGACCATCTCACCACCTCTGCCAAACAATCAAGGTAATATCACCAGGTCTGGGCTGTCAGGGCTACAGCACTGCCACATTCCGGCTTTGATCCCCAGCACCTCCTGAAAACCTTCGAGTGACTAGTGATAAGGCAAAATACCTAAGCAGGGCTGGAGCACTTGCCGAGCATTTGCAAAGCCCTGGGTTTGATTCCCCAGCAAAAACCAACCAATCAATCAAAAATAAGACAACCAGAGCCTGGCACAGTGGCACATGCCTGTAATCCTAGTTGCTCTGAAAGCAGGCGGATTTCAAGTTCAAAGCCAGCCTAGGCAACTTAGCCAGACTAGTTGCTTACAGTCCCCTGTTACCAGTCATCTAGTTACCTGTCTCAAAAAAAAAAAAAATTAAAAGGGCTGGGGATGTGGCTCCATGATTAAGTGCCCCTGGGTTAATCCCCAGTCAGGTGGTGGGGGACAACCAAATACCCGGTCACTATTCTTCAAGTCTGTCAAGGTCATAAAATAAGGAAAGATGGACAATCTGTCACAGATTTCAGAATTTGAAGGACCCATGACAACAAATGCAAGGAGGCATCCTAGAGTGGATCCTGCTGCAGAGAAACCGGTGGAGTCCAAACCAAGCCTGCGGCTACCAGCATCACCGTGATGTCCCCTTGGGGGTTCTGACAACTGCCAAGGTTTATGTACAATGTTTACTTTAAGGGAAGCTGGACAAGTCTCCCGAGCTCTCTGTACTATGTGGCAACCTTTCTGTACCTCTGAAGTTTGTCCAGGCTTAAACTTATTTTTTAAATTATTTATTTATTTTGGTACCAGGGATGGAACCCAGGCGCACTTAACCACTGAGCCACACCCGGAGCCCTTTATATTTTTTATTTTGAGACAGGGTCTCGACAGGTTGCTTACAGTCTGGCTAAGTTGCTGAGGCTGGCTTCCAACTTGATCCTCCTGCTTCAGCCTCCCTAGCTGCTGGGATTACAGGCCACCCCGGTTAAGTTTATTTTAATTATTAACTGTTGCAGTGCTGGGGATGGGAACCAGGGCAGTGCGCCCCCACCAGAACAGAAAAACAACGACATCATCACACACTAGAAACTAAACAACTAAAACACCATCAACAAAACAAGTGATAGGACTAAGTTTTGGACAGCAAACAACCCCCTCCCCTACATGGGTAGTGGGTGGGAAGTGATTAATTCAGCTGATTAGCATATGCTACCGCTAGATGCAGCCATAAACTTTATTGGTAAAAACTTACAACTGGAACCCACCCACACGTTCATCCACAGATCGATCGACCGCAGGAAGGGAAGCGACGTGAAGCGTCTTCCGTGAATCACCTGCAACCACACGAAAGAGCGCGTGGAAGAAGTCCTGTTTCCCGTTCTCCTCTCCTGGCAGGGAGGGGTGTCAATTAACATGTCAGTTTCCTAACAATCCCATTCGCGTGACCTTCAAAATGCATCCTGAATCCCACCGCTTCGGGCCGTCCCCGGGTCACCACCTGGGCCGGCGCACGGGCAACACACCTGGACTCTTCACCCTCTGCGCCCGAAGCTCCCGGCTTTCGCCGCACCTCCGCGAGGGGGCGCCAGTTCCCACTTACCGCAGGTCAGGTCCGTCCTGGGCCCGCGAATTCCAGGGGCACCTGCTGACGCAGAAAAGCCAAAGGGATCGCCGAGGGCCACAAGGCTCTGCGGTATCTGGATCCTTCCTCTCTGCCCTCATATCTTACCTGTCCTCCTGGCTCATTCACTTCAGTCCAGCCACATCGTCCTCCTCTCAGTTCCTGGGAGATAAAAACTCAGCCTAGGGCCTTTGCAGTGGCTGTCCCCTCTGCTGGCATGTTCTTCTGCCGGGTACTCACATGGCCCACCTCTCACCTGCTTCGCATGGCTGGTCAAATGCCTCTTCCAACAGAGAACTGGGAGATATTCGGAATTATTGTTAATTGGATGTAGTAGAGAGGTACAATGATAAGAATGCCTTCGCCACTAAAGGACACGAAGGGAAGTCTCCGTGGGTGTCTGAAATGAATTCTAAATGGCTCATCAAGTACAGAAAAGTGAGAAGCAGCAGATGTGGCAAAATACGACCAATTGCTGAATGCTGGTGGTGGATATAGGCTGTGAACTGTCCTTCTGCCAGGGCCTCCTGCATCTAGGCAAGAGCTCTACCGTGCAGCTACACCCCAGCCCTAAAAAGGTCTTTTAAATGCCACCTTCTCAGTGAGCACTTCTGTGGGCAAGATATTTAAAATGACATTCCCTATCCAAGCACAGTGCACATCTGTAATCCCAGAGACTGGGGAAGCTGAGGCAGGAAGATCCCAAGTTCAAGGTCAGCCTCAGCAACTTTGCAAAACTTAGCAAGACCATTCTTAAAATGAGAATTTTGAGGATTTCTCAAAAAAGAAAAAAAATCTGGGTGTGGTGGCACACACTTTTAACTGTGAGTTCAAAGCCAACCTCAGCAAAAAGTGAGGCACTAAGCAACTAAGCAACTCAGTGAGACCCTGTCTCTAAATAAAATACAAAATAGGGCTGGGGATGTGGCTCAGTGGTCGAGTGCCCCTGAGTTCAATCCCCAGTACCCCCCACCATATATATATATATATATATATATATATATAAAGGAATGATATGACTGAGGATGTAGCTAAATGGTAAAAACTCCCTGGATTTGATCTCCAGTACCAAAAACAAACAAACAAACAAACAAAAAGATGCTCCCTTCCAACATTATCACCCTTCCCTGGTTCATTTTTTTTAAATAGCACTTATCTCTAACATATAAATACATATTTCATATACTTTATAATAATTATAAATTTAAATAACTACATTATATGCTATATGTAAATGTCTTTTATATATAACACCTAAATACATATACTTATTAATATTTAAGTATGTAAATATGCCTAACAATGTATCAATATATACCTTATAATATACAAATGTGTATACTGTATGACAAATAAATAAATATGAAAATGTGATTATATAAATATGCTATATCAAGTGTAGAGTTTAGAACATCAATTCTCCCACTGTGCCAGGGGGTGGTAGGGTAGGAGGGTAGGAGGGTAGGAGGGTAGGAGGGTGTTGTGATCCTCTCAATTTGTTCCCTGCTGTATGGCGATCCCAGCCCAGGGTCTGGCACAGAGGGGGCACAGGAAGTGCTTGTAACATGAATGAATTCCCTTTCCTGGCTCAAAGCCCCAGGGGTCCCTGGAGAGCTGGGAGCCCCTTCATGCCAGATCTGCCAGTGGCCAGCGATGGCTCCATTTCCTCTGCTTGGGACAGGCCATGCCCTGGGAGCAGAAAGGGTTTCTGTTGGCCTTTTGAGCACCTGCCCAGTGCCACAGCGGTCTCGGTGCAGCCTCCCAACAAACCTAAGAGACAGGTCATTATTAGCCTCATTTGATATGTGAGGAAACCGAGGCAAGGAGAGGATGCCATTTGCCCAAATCCACACAGCCAGGAAACGGAGGAGCTAGGATTCAAACCCAGGCAGGTGGCCCAAAGTCCCCTTGTTAACCAGGGGATCTTACCACCTGGGGAAGGCGCCCCGGGAGGCAAGCGCCACAAGTGTAGTCCTTGCTTTTTTTTTTTTTTTGAGAAAATGTGTCCTATCCACTGGGGCGTGTGTGTGTGTGTGTGTGTGTGTGTGTGTGTGTGTAAAGGGGTCACACTAGCCTTCCCTGGCTGCTTGGATCTTCCACCTTCCAGTAACGAAGGCTCCATGCCAGGGACGCCTACTTGATTCCTTTATCCCCGTAGGCGGTGAGTTCAAGTCCACCCACAACCGCAGACCCCCTGGCGGGGTCCAGCGCCACGGCCATGCATTCAGGAAGCACCCGGCGCCTCCGTCCTGGCCTCTGCCTTCGCGCCCTGCTGCACAGACGAGGAGCGGGCGGATGGCAGGAGCAGAAGGTCGGAGCTGGAGGCCGCGGCCTTCGCCTAGCAACTGGTGACGTCACCCGGACAGCCATCCGATTGGCTGCGCTCCTGTGCGGTTCTCAAATTGCGGGTCTCCAGTTTCCCGAAGGTGCGGCTGGGTCCTGCGGAGAGTCCGGCTGGAGGGGTCCCGGAGCTGCGGCGCGATCTGAGGAATGGCACCGGCGGCTGGAACAGGGATTCTCAGCCAGGAGTTAGTGATGGCTCAGGGATGGACTCTTATTAAACTTTTAAAATTGTACGCAAATGCGAACACAAGATGTGAACGTTGGGTTTTTGTTTTTTTGTTTTTGTTTTTTGTTTTTTGGCGGGGCGAGGGGAGGGCAGGTACCGGGGATTGAACCCAGAGGCACTTAATCACTGAGCCAGTCTATTTTATTTAGAGGCAGGGTCTCACTGAGTTAATTGGCGCCTCCCTAAATTGCTGAGGCTGGCTTTGAACTCGCAATCCTCCTGCCTCAGCCTCCAAAACAGCTGGGATTACAAGGGCGCACCACGACGCCCGGCCATAGATATGGACGCTGGGAGGAGAGACAGCCTGAGTTCCCCCAGCCACTTAGCCCTGGAGTAGCCTGGGGCAGGGAATCTTAGTGATCTTATCTGTAAATGGAGATGAAAGAAATGTTGTAGGGCCAGGGCCTAGTGGAACTTCACACACTCACATTGGTGTGCAAACATCACCTCTATCTAGTTCCAGAACATTTTCACACCCCAAAAGGAAACCCCTACCCACTAGGTGTTCACTCCCATTGTTGGATATGGAAAAAGACAAACCCCAAATAATATGGCCCAGGGGGCTGGGGTTGTGGCTCCGTGGTAGAGCGCTTGCCTAGCGCGTGAGGCACCGGGTGTTAGGAAAGGGACCGAATCTCCCGGAGGGACACGGAGGCTAAGCAGGTGCAAGTTTATTGTCAGGAAACCTGACAAGGCTGCCCCTGCGCAGAGACCAGCGGCAGACTCCCTCGGAGGTTAACTCTCATTGTCAGAGCCTGGGACATGTGTGTGTGTGTGTGTGTTGGGGGCCTAGCCCTTGCTACCGCAGGTGGAGAACAGGCTTCAAACCCTCCAGAACCACAGCCGGGAGCGGGCTGGGGGATTGCCACCAGCTCCTGGAATCGGCAGGCCCCTCTCCGCACTCAGAAAGTCTGTGAGAGCTGTGGTCAGGGTGCAGGTGGGTGGAGGGTGAGTGGGCTCTTGCAGGAGGGGGAAGGGGGGGAGCGCGGTGAGGTGTCTGGGCAGAAATGGGGTCAGCTTGACTTAGCTTGTAAACGAACCCATAGTTACTTTAACAGGCTACTCTGGGTTCCATCCTCAGCATCACAAAATACATAAGTAAACAAACAAACAAATATTATTATGTCCATCTACAACTAAAAAGATTTTTTTTTTTAAACTATAGGCCCAGGAGAGGGAATGCAGGAGAAGGCAATGCATTGATCCTTTCCCAAAACAGTCTTCACGGTGACAAAACAAGCCCTGGGGAGAAGTTGTCCATCAAACCTAGAATGACAGTCTCTGGGAAGGGACTTAAGCACTGATCTCTCCCCAAATAAATCCTTTCCATATGCTGGCCTCTGACCCCCGACCCTCCATCTTATCCAGTAAAGACAAATCCCAGATACTGACCGCTGACCTCAGGCCCTACATTGCCCAGAAAAGAAAAAAATTCCTGAGTGCCCAAATTGACACAATCACTCAGCCCAGACTCCTCCTTTGATCAGTGGCCCATTTTCCACTGGGAGAGTGGGTCCATCCGAGGTAGAATTCCGTTCCTGAATAAAGGCTTTGCTGACCCGTGAAGTTTGCGTCTGGCCCAGTCCCTTTGTGCTAACACCCATTCATTCTTCCCCTACTTATAACCACTGGTCTACTTCCTGTCTGTAGATTCACCCATTCTGGACATCTGCTCTATGGAATCCTACAGTATTACTTCCTGTGTTTTGCCCATGTATGTGTCAGAGCTTCAGTACTTTTTTGTGGCTGAATAATATTTCATTTTGTGTATAGGAACCACACAAAGCAGTAATTCCCATCTCCTTATGGACCTTTGAGATGTTTCTGTCATGGGAGAAGAGGGGTCTCCAGAGAAGGCCCGGGAAAGTGGCAGAGAGAAGGGCAAATTCACTCAGGACCAGCTGTGTCCTTGGCATACCAAGGGAAGAGAATTTTATCAGGCAGGGTCAGAGGCCCAGACAGAGGTTTATTTAGGAAAGTAGATGCACATTCCTGGGGGAGGCAGGCCATCCTGAGAGTGAGAGACAAGTTTTCCCAGTTCCAGGCTCTCCTTCAAAGGAATTGGAGGGGTGGGGGTGAAGGTATGGGGGGTAGACTTCAGTCTGGTAATTACAAGACGCTGGTGTGGCTCTGGTGATTCTGGGCTCCTTAGGCCAGCATCTTTACTATCTGATCAACAGATAAGGCTGGAAAGTCCCCTAAGTTAAAGGCTTTTCACAATATAATTTCTCTCTTTGCTTAATCAGTTTATGGGGCCAGGGGTCATAATTAACAGTGCACAAGGTAGATGGACAGATGTCCCAGGGCTTTGGGAGTTGCAGGCCTGGGAAGGAGACAGGTTTAGGGATTGCCAGGCCTGGGAAAGTACCTGGAACTTCTAAATTAAAACTTTAATTCCATGGGTCGGGTTGTAGCTTTGTGGAAGAGCATTGCCGAGCATGCAGGAGGCCCTGGGTTTGATTCTCAGCACCACATATAAATAAATAATTAAGGTCCATCAACAACTAAAAAAATTAAAAAGAAAAAAATTCATTTCCTCTTCCTCCTTTATGTTTCCTTTCTACCTACTTTTAAATTTCTTCTATCCTACCTCAGTTTCCCATTTTCCATACTGTGCTGCTGTGTACTTCCAGGTACAAATTTTCTCCTTGAACACCAGTTTTTAATTCTTTTGGTATGTTCCTATGAGTGAAGTTGCTGGATCATACAATCATTCCGTTTAGCTTTTGGACGAAGCATGAAACTGTTTTCCACAGTGGTTGCGCCAATTCACCTTGCTACCAGCAGTGTGCAAGGATTCCAAGTTCTCCACACGCTCACCAATGCTTAGTTTCCATTTTTAAAGTATAGCCATCCTGGTAGGTGGGCAGTGTGGTTTTACGTGTTGAGCCTCTTTTACGTGCTTCCTGGCTAGTTGTATGTCTTCTTAAGGGAAAAGTCTATTCTAACCTTCTAGCCCTTTGTCTATTTTTATTTTATTTATTTATTTTTAGTTTTAGGTGGGCACATTATTTTGTTTCTATGTGGTACTGAGGATCGAACCCAGTGCCTCATGCACACTAGGCGACCACTGTACCACTGAGCCACAACCCCAGTCCCCATCCTTTGTCTATTTCTTTCTTTCTTTCCCTCATTTTCTCACCTTCTTTCCTACCTTCCTTCCTTTTCTTTCCTGAAGATATAGCCCAGGGGCACTCCACCTCTGAGCTACATCCCCAGCCCTTTTAATTCAGGTCTTGCTAACCTGGGAGAGCTGGCCTCTAACTGGCCATTCTCCTGGAACTTGTGACCCTCCTGC